CTGAAAAAACGTTTCAACGAGACGCTACCCGTTTACCGCCTGCCACCAGAACTCTTTACGTCTATCCTTTTGATGGACCTAAGAGAGCACTTAATCCAACCATACTCTCGGAGGCATCGGCTCTGGCAATTAGCCCTCGTGTCGTCAAAGTGGTGGAAAACGATCAGCCTCGGTACAATCTTCTGGACCAACATCGCGTTCAAACGTGATGACGTCAATCTTTGCCTGCGCAAATCACGAAATGCCTTGCTCGACATCATGTGTGTCAGCTTCCATGGCGAAGCTTCGTGGTTTATGGAGATCGTGGCAACCGCTGCCAATCGTTGGAGGTCCATCGCCTTGTCCTGCGGTACCGGCCGAGATTTGGTTCACCAGCTGCGGAACCCGATGCCGGAGTTGACAGATATGCAAGTAGACGTTAGGATTCGAAACGAGCCGCTGCCCGAAGGGCAACCCATTCTTCAACTTCAAGGTCTATCGAAACTCCGGCACCTCTGTCTGGTCAATGTAGGTTTCCAGTGGGAGAACCTCAAGCTGGAAAACCTCGTATCCCTTCAGCTGGCTGACATCGCAGCTACCGCGCCGACTTTAAGTTCGATCATTGCCGTACTTCGAGCCTCCCCCGATCTAGAGCAACTCGCTCTAAGGAACATTGGGGTTACAGGTGACAGGACTCCTCCCGCACAGACGACGATCCACCTATCACGCCTCCAGAGCTTGCAGCTAGCATCGATACCGCAAGAAGCCCTCCGCCATCTAATATCGGCCATTGAATCGCCACAGCTTACCGCCATCAAGGTGGTCGGATGCCCCGATTCCTACTTTGTAGGTAACACACACAACCTTACCGAAGTCCCTTTGATGAAATACCTTCCATCCATCATGGGAAAACTCGGCGAGATTCAAATAGTAAATGATGTCGGGCGTCGGCAGATTGAAATCACGTCCGTTCCCATATTTGGGCGGGACTCGGAGTGGGTGTCGTGGGCTACGTCTGCTCACACTGACGGGCTACACGTCACTGTCCCCACGGAGAATGCTCGCCAGTCTCTGGACCGCATTATTCCACTCCTGAGCGACGCTGGGCTCGGCAGGACTATGCCCCCCCGAGTCCGCCTGTCCGTGCAGGCGCTTGTTAGTCCAACGTACGACCTTCCGGAGGGCTATGAAGGATGCTTCAATGCGGAACTTCTGACCAGACTTCCGACACTCACCCACCTCTCAGCAGTGGATCCTACTGATATCAGAGGTATCCTTCGGCATTTGGGGCAATGCAGGCAGGGGTCCGATGGGACTTGGGGCTATTCATGCCCACGGCTGGAGGTATTGGACATTGAAGCTACTAGTAGTGAAGCGGTGGAGCGCAACGATATCGAGGTCTTTATTGCGGAAAGGTACGGAGACGGGGCGCCTTTCTGGAAGGAATCCCAGCTGGTGAAACGTCCTCCGGACTTGGTGGAATTTGCCCTCCCGTGGCATCTTGAAGAGGAACCGGCGACAGAAGAAGAATATGAAGACATGGATTGGGGAATGATGTAGGTAGTTTAGGGATTCATGATGCTTTCTCTGGGTTCTTTTCTTCCAAATTGCTGCCGCTCCTCTGTTTGCCTGATTGCGTTTCTGATGTCTTTGGCCATTGTGTATGATACTACCCCAGTCCCCTCATGCTTCTCCTTTTAGTCCAACACCTCACCCTACATTCAGTACAAAACAGATTTTTGACTGTGGCATTCCTGACTGGGACCAGGGATCCGTGAGTCATTACTCGATCGTACTAGGCCTTTGGTCGTAGTGGAATGTACCGGACTGTGCTTTCCTTTTAGGACAGTGATGTAGCTGTTAGATGTTTTGCAAAGAGATCGTATTGTCCTTTGAGGTCACCCGTGATCTTTGGGATGTACTTTGCCGCCCCGCCCCCCGCACCCAGAAAAGGAAGGGAAGCTGTATCTTCCAAGGAAGTCATCCTGGTGCTCTGTTCTTGTCCTTCTCACCGAATTTCGATCGGTGCAGGGACTTTTCTGCGCGGCGTGATTTCGTGGAAGAAATCCGGTTGGGCTTTGACGGAGCCAAGGCACATTCTCCCACGTCGACCAAAGTCTAACCATTCTTGATATTTCGACTTTGACGGCACCTCCCGAGTGGATGCCAGACGATCAGGACACCAACCCTCGAGTATCCTCCTCATCTTCCTCTTCGTCCGTCTCTGCTGCTCACGAAGACACTCCCATTCCTTCAATGCGTCCGACCAAAATCAACATCCTGCCGAGGTCCTCTGGGCGTTATTCGCCACTCGACAATCCCGGCTCCTCATCAATGGGGAGAAGGATGGGCTGGAAAGGAGTCGCTATCCTACTTGGACTATTCGTGGGCGCTGTTTGGATCGTTAATCCTCAGCAGCAATATGAGAAATATGCGAGCGGACCGGACAGCATGTCTCCTGCGAAGCAGCCTCAAGGTGCGTCGCTGGCATGGCCCCCTTTAGCTTTGCGCTGGCACTGAGCAGCCGTCCTCATAACAGAGGGCGACTACCGTCATGGCGCCATCCCGGACATAGGAGAAGAGCCACCAACGGTTGAACCGCCGAGGCCTGGTGCTTATGAGGAAGAAGACGAAGACGCCGCCGCAGCAACCGACAAACCCCTCACTTTGGCCGAATCCCCCAAATCTCCCGAGACTGACCCCGATCTCCTCAAGACTGTCCATTGTCTCTCACCTCATAAACCCACATTGCCGCTGGTCCAGTATGCTTTAATGCTCGATGCTGGTTCTACTGGCTCCCGCATTCACATATACAAATTCCACAATTGCCACGCATCACCAACGTTGGAGTACGAAGTCTTCAAGATGACCCAGCCCGGCCTGAGCTCCTTCCCGGATGATCCTGTCGCTGCGGCGAAGAGTCTGGACGTTCTCATGGAAGAAGCAGTGAAAGTTGTTCCGAAGCAGCTTCAGGGATGCACGAAAGTGGCCGTCAAGGCCACTGCTGGACTTCGCCTACTTGGGTCCGACGTCAGCGAAGCTATTTTGGTCGCCGTTCGAAGTCGTCTAAAGGACCAATATCCGTTCCCGCTGGCAGGCAAAGACGCCGTGGTTATCATGGATGGGAAAGACGAAGGCACGTTTCTCCCCCTAATTCGGGATTATCTCCGACTAACTGTTTCTTTGTACAGGTGTCTATGCTTGGATTACAGCCAATTATTTGCTGGGAACTATTGGCGGTGGCGTCAAAGATGGTCGGCCTACGTATGCGGTCCTTGATCTTGGCGGTGCTTCCACACAAATCGTCTTCGAACCGACTTTTGGATCGAGCTCAGCAGGAAAGCTCGCGGAAGGAGATCACAAATACGAACTAACGTTCTCGGGCAAGACTCACATGCTGTACCAACACTCGTACCTCGGCTATGGCCTCATGCGCGCACGACGCCATGTCAACAACCTGGTTGGCTTCATGTGGGACTTCCGTTCCGACGGCAAAGGCTCATCTTCAGGACCGGGCAGCATCGGCGGGTCAAACTCGCAATTAACGGATGGCCCTGATGTACCAAACCCATGTTTAGCGAGGGGAACTAAGCGGAGGGTTACGCTCGATGGAGGAAAGTGGGCGGACGGTTATAACGTTACCATGATTGGGGGAGATGTTGGTAGCTTCGACCACTGCAATCGAGTTGTAGAACTCGTGATGGCCAAGGACGCGTATGTTTCATTCGCTTCGCATCCTGTCCGCCGATGTCGCTAACTGTTTCAATTTTAGCGTCTGCACCGTCAAGCCATGCTCCTTCAACGGCGTCTACCAACCCAACATCCTCGACACCTTCCCTAGCGGAGGCATCCTGGCCTTGTCCTACTTCTATGACCGCATCTTCCCGCTCCTTCCGCAATCGTCCTCGAAACATAATGCACCATCCGCGTTGGCTCGGGCATGGGGGAATACCGATAAGAAAAAACCCTCCGGCAAGAAGAACCCCAAGAAAGATGCCAACTCCATCATCATCTCTGAGATTGCTACCCTTGCGGAGCGAGTTTGTGCAGGACCCGAGTCATGGGACAAGTACTGGGGACCAAACTCAGCTTTCGCTAGCTCCTTCGCATCTACCACAGGAGGATCCGACAAGGCGTCCAAGGATATTTTGGAAGAGTTGCACGGCCGACCCGAGTATTGCTTGGATTTGACCTTCATGCATGCTCTGCTGCGGTTGGGTTACGAGTTCGGAGGCCAGAGAGGTGTGCGGGTAGAGAAGAAGGTGGATGGCGTTGAGCTGGGATGGTGTCTCGGTGCGACGATTGCTCTGCTTTTGGACGACCATGGCGAGAAAGGCATAAAGTGCATCGCTTGAGGATAATATAATTTTTTCTTCCATCTTGGTCGGGTAGGATATTTCTTGGGTGTTTGCTTTGTATTGTGTTTCGTACCATCTCTCCAAGCTTCTACCATGTCCGTATTGTTATAGTGTTTTCGATACTAGATACTAGACGCCAGTCTTCCTTCGTTTCCAGACAAGAACCTGAGTCAGGATTGATGGATGAGATTAAAATTCTTGGTTCGGGGGAAATCTCACTGGCAATATTCTCGTCCTGCCCCTGTTAGTGTCTGTCCCATTGCAGGTAATCATCCCCCTCCTTTATCCCTATCATCTCCATGCCACGCCACTTTTACACGGTATGAACGTCAAAGCAGTCTACTAGCGCTATCATGTCGACTCTTTCTTAAATCACAGTAACCTGGTTCTTGACCGAAACTAGACGCTGAGGCCATCGACCAAGGCCCCACCCCTTGACCGTCTACGGCCGTCTTCGGAGCCCAAGAATCGAGTGATAGTCCGGATAGGATACATTGATTGCAGAATAGAAGTCTAGTGGAACCTTTTCTATGAAGGGGAAGGATTGGTTCTTGGACTGGTTGAGCAGAAACGTGAATAACTCCATCACTTAGTTCTGCACTTGCTGGCTAAATTTTGCCTGCGTCAGGATATGGGAAAAAATAGCGGTGTCGATGACAACGATCTCTGTTCGTATATTGGTTAGTACACTCGCCTGTCATCTCATGCGGCGCGCGAGAAAGCAGGGTTCGATTCCCTGACAGAGAGTCCAATTACCTTTTTTGGGTTTGTCGGAGGTCTGAAGGTACTACCCAAATGACAATTCTTTGGCGTAGAGTCAGGATTAAGAGTCTTGTTCGATGACATAAATTACATTCTGAATGACCCGAGAGCGGAAGCCGGTACCATCTTCTCAAGGTCCGTCGTGTCCGTATCGTTATAAACGTCACCGGCCTCCCTCCGCTTCCGGACCAAAGCCCGGCCAAGATCTGGTGGATGCGATTAACCTTAGTTCGGGAAAGAATCTGCACTGACGATAGTCTCGTCATGTGAGATTTGCCTGTCCCCGCTTCTTCCCCCGCTCCTCATCTCTACCCCCTCCATGCTATCTGACTTTGACGATATGAAGGCCAAAACAGGTTAATAACGCTATTATTTTAACTCTTGCCTTAGTATCGATAGCTCGCCTCTTGACTGAAACCGGACGCTGAGGCGATCGACTGAGCTCCCTCCCAGTGACCATCTACGTCCGCCATCAGAGCTCAAGAACTGAATGAGCAGTCCGGATAGTAAACATTTTAATGTAAGATAGAATTTAGTGAGAACCTTTTTACGAGGGCGAAGGATTGGTGCGGGCTTTTGGAGGTCTTGGTATGGTCGAGCATGGTTAACATTATCACATGGTTCTGCACTTGCTGGCTAGGTTTGTTGGCATCAGGACATGAAAAGGATAGCGGTACCGATGACAGCAATCTCTGTTCGTATATTGGTTAGTACACTCGCCTGTCATCTCTCGCAGTGCGCGAGAAAGCAAGGTTCGATTCCCTGACAGAGAGTCCAATTACCTTTTTTGGATTTATCGAAAGTCTCAAGGCACTCCCCGAATGATGATTTTTCGGGGCAAAGTTCGGCGTCAAAATATAATCTCTGTCGTATTCAATGACAGGAATCGCATTTTAATGACCGCGAGAGCGGAAGCTGGAAGTTCGGTATTCTTCCTGATGCCACCTCGACTCACTCAACTCGTGCATGGGCTTGGCCCAAACGAGATATTACACGTTATCCCATCGGAGTACTCATACTACATGCAAGTAACAGAGTCCAAATAATCCAACTCTGCGTTGGCGGGAGTCTGCCGCCATTAATTAGCCACACTGTCAGCCTCTGCCACGGTCCTCGATGTACACAAGTTTTGGAGCTGTGGAAAAAGTCCATGGCATCAAAGCCCCGAGCGTCGATAAATAGCCCAAACCATGTTTGATACGGTGTATGTATTTGAGACTTCCGGACTGCCGATGACTCCTCGCGAGACCTCCCGAAGTTGGCCAGGTATGGTGGGTCTTCAAGAAAAGTCCCTTCTGTTCATTAGCTCCGAAATTTAAAAGTGAGATATATTCGACCAGATTCAGAGATCCCGATCAGGTCTTTCCTGTCAACATTTCTCCGTTCGGGACTTTTCATGGTTGGGAGACTGCCGGACGCCTAGGTCTAACAGCTGCCACCGACCAAACGCGGCAAGCCCCGCTGCAGTTTTAGACTTAACAGGTTCAGGGAAAAGTATCGGTTTTCGTTTGGATTACATGCCTCGGCATGATTTGCACCAGAAGATAACATTCGTCAAAACCCACACTTCGTCGTGTTTGACCGAGGGAGCCTGGCCCCTGCCTTGAAACCCCAACGATACGGCAGCGACTTGCCTTTGTCCTGAGTAATTGATCTTTTCACTACACAGAGGGAGATATATACATAAACCATTCACTATGATAATGTAAAGTCAACGGCACGGGACTATAAATCTAGATTCATTCTACCAACGGAGACAATACATCAACGCAGACCGAACAACAACGCCTTGACCAATGAGATAGGATGCATTATTTTTGTGTCACATGCGTACATGAGTTGTAGTCCGACCGACAGAATATATCGTTCAAGCTGAAACGTCTAGGTGAAACATCATGCGGCCTCCTTTTGCTCGAGGGATTGATGGAGATTGGCGGCATCCTTCAAAGCACCAGCGGCTGCTTCGGTATTTCCAATTTGGCCGAAAATCTCAGCAGCTTGTTCGTAATTGTGTATCGCGTCGGTGAGATGACACTGATCGCGGTGAACTTGGGCAAGGTCCCGCAGAACATCGGCTCTTCCTCGTTTATCACCGATATCAGAATAAATTTCCAGCGCTTTGGAATAGAACGTGATGGCTTCTTCGTACTCGTTCAGATGTTGGTGCACGTGAGCGAGACCCCACAAAGCGTCGGCTCTCCCTTTGTTGCTGCCGATGTCGGTATAAATTTTCAGGGCCTCAGAATGGAGTATAAAAGCCTCGCCGTGCTCGTTTCGCTGTCGATGTACTTCAGCGATACCCCACAGAGCAGAAGCTCTTCCTTCTTTATCGCCGGTCTCGATACAGATTTGGAGGGCTTCCGAGTAGCATGTAATGGCTTGGCTGGACTCGTTTTGAGCTTGATGCACTTGAGCAAGGCCCCATAGAGCGCAGCCTCTCCCGTCTTTGTCACCGATGTCCGTATAGACCTGTAAAGCTTCGTAGTAGAGCGTCGTGGCTTCTGTATACTTGTCTTGATGTCGATGGACCTCAGCAAGGCCCCACAGAGCGGAAGCTCTCCCTTCTCTGTCTCCGGTCTCGGTACATATTTGCAGTCCTTCTGAATCGAACGCAACCGCCTTGTTGTACTCAGCCTGAAGCCGATGTACTTGAGCAAGACCCCATAGGGAATAGGCTCTTCCCTGTCCATCGTCTATGTCGGTATAGATTTGGAGGGCTGCGGTGTAGTGTGTAACAGCTTCGGTGTATTCATTCCTAAGTCGATGCACCTCAGCGAGACCCCACAAACAGGAGGCCATCTCTTGTGTGTCGCCGACCTCGGTATAGACCTTTAGGGCTTGGGTATAGTGTATGACGGCTTGGTTGTACTCGTCTTGAAGCCGATGCACCTCGGCAAGAGCCCACAGAGCTGTGGCTCTGCCTTCGGTGTGCGCCATATCTGTGTAGATTTCTAGGGCTTCGGTGAAGAAGGTTGATGCGCGGAGATAGTCACTTTGTCGTTTGTGCATGTAACCTAGCTCTACCAGAAGCTCTGGAGAGGGCACTCCGGGAACTGCCGCGTCTGTGGATCGCGTAGGGTTTGGGACAGTCATGGGCTGTACCATCACGGGTTAATCGCGTGTCCTTACTCTTTAAGTAGCGCTGCTCACCATCCAATGGATGGACTTCCGGCAGTCCTTGGCCGTCGGTCGTCTGCCTGGTTCGATGCTCCAACACTCGGTCATAAGGGAGCAAAGTGCTTGAATTAATGACACGCGGGCGTCGTCGTAGATGGAAGGGAGGTCTCTCTGAACAACGCATTTTATAATAACGGCGTCCTTGTGTACATCTTGGAAGGGAATGGAGTTGGTCATAACCTGTGTCACCGTTATTCATCAGCCTTCGCCGGTGAACTACTTTCCAAATCAGCCTTACCTCGTAATATATCCACCCCAACGACCATACATCGCTCCAGAGGCCAGGTTGATCCTCCATAAGTAGCTCTGGAGCTGCCCAACGAAGGTTATAGTCGTTGCAGGTAAGGGTTATTGTATTGGTAGATACACAGAATGTTGCTTGAAGCGGTGGTCTTCGAGGAAGTTTGGTTTCGGTCTGTTTCAGTCCGTCGTTTGTGAGACGACAAGCGGAGCCGAAATCCGTGATGACTGCGTTGTATTTCGCGTTTACCAATATGTTAAGCTACAGAGCTCGAAGTTAGTCTTGTGAGATGTGTTATCACGCAATAGCGACAGGATCTACCGATTTAAGGTCGCCATGGCGTATGGGTGGTTTTTGGCTATGGAGGTATTCCACCCCCCTGGTCACGTCGTCGATCTAAAGTAAGGCTTATTAAATGTGGATCAAACTAGTGTACCTTGATCTTACCAGCCAGATTCGCTCAGGACCTCCCAATCCCGCGAGGCAATGAATTCCCTCAGGTTTCCATTGTCCTCCCAGGAAAAGACCAACCAGATTATATCAGCGGGTACGTCTTCAACAAATCCTTTGAGGCTAACGATGTTTGGGTGAGAAAGTTCAACTAAGAATTCTGCTTCCCTGAGTGCTAACTGCAAGAGCTTAGAGCTTCGAGCTTCCTGAAACTCTACGCGATTGGGCGAAGATGCTTACACCCAATATTCGCTCTAGATCCGTGTCATCTGCTATTTTAAGTTTCTTCACTGCTACGGCCTGACAGGTAGGGCCGACGACGGCTTCAACAATCTGCGGTAGAAGACACAGGAGCCTGGCTGTTACCTACCTTCTGCCCGAGAGTCCCGCCGCCTGGTTTTTGCACCGCTGTGATTTTCTCACATTCATCCATGCCTAGTTCTTCATGCAATGGAGAAGTCAACTGGCCTCGTAAGACTATTGAACGTCCTCCATAAAACTCGTCGGCGTCTTCCCGAAATTTGATCGAAGAAGGATTCATTCGCCATCGCTCGAGTTTCTTAAACTTCTCTCTCTGTAAAGAAGCTTTAGATAAGCCGTTAAAAATATCGGTCACTTTCCCGATGGGACGCACTAATTTTGCGCTTGGCTGGAATCTAATGAAGGAACCTTGGTCGGACCCGGGCAAACGAGAAGAACCGACATAGGGGTTGTCGTCTCGTTCTTGCATTGACCAAATATTTTAGTGTGACTAAGGTGGGTAGTTCTGTGTTTCCAACACTCAGCTGCGAGTTTAGAGGGAAAGTGGAAGAGGATGGAGGTGGGTCAGAGGATGGAAGTCGGGAGAGCGGGGAAGAGTTCGCACTTCGAGCCGGTCTCGACCTTTGATGTTGCCACTCAACCGCGCCCACCTGACACATACGTTTCGTCTAAACTAAAGACAAAAACGGCATCTTATTAGTGTGTAACAGGGTTCTGTAAGTATGAGGACCGAGAAATCTCAAGGCGTCGGCGGGAGCTCGTTAGTGAGCGCCTGTTGGCGTCGACCAGCTAGGAGCCCAAGAGCACCCCAGGGCAGGCTTTCGAGCGAGCCAAGAGTCCAGCATGGGCACAAGGT